TGCGTGAGCGTGTTTGATAGGAGTGAATGGAGACAAATGGTTTTTAATACTTGACGTGCTGTTGGAGTGTGAGCAAAGTAACATTTATGAAGGGGTTCAGGGAAGCCGGCAGGCCGGACTTGAGTCCTGGAGATGGGAAGTACAGTGCCTGCACTCTGAAGGAGGGGTGTTAATGTTGCAGTTTAAAAACTGTAGTGTAAAGCACCCTTCTGGCAAGACAGTGATGGAGTGAATGATGGTGAAAGTTTTTCTTTTTCGGGCCACCCTGCCTTGGTGGGAATCGGCCAGTGTGATAATATAATAAATATATATACATATATATATACATACACACACACACTCATACTCACTCTCACACTCGCACACACCCAGGAGACAGAAACGAGGCACTAAACTCCGGACCAGTGTCTCTGACGTGTATAGTATGCAAGGTCATGGAGATTATTATCAGGAGCAGAGTGGTGGAGCACCTGGAACGAAACGCGATTATAAACAACAACCAGCACGGATTCACGGAAGGCAAATCCTGTGTCACAAACCTTCTGGAGTTTTATGACAAGGTAACAGAAGTAAGAAAGAGAGGGGTGGTTTGATTGCATTTTCCTGGACTGCAGGAAGGCTTTCGACACAGTTCCTCACAGGAGGTTAGTGCAGAAGCTGGAGGAGCAGGCACGTGTAACAGGAAGGGCACTACAATGGATCAGAGAATACCTGACAGGGAGGCAACAACAGGTCATGGTACATGATGAGGTATCACAGTGGGCTCCTGTGACGAGTGGGGTACCACAGGGGTCAGTCCTAGGACCAGTGCTATTTTTGATATATGTGAATGACATAGTGGAAGGGATAGACTCTGAAGTGTCCCTGTTCACAGATGATGTGAAGCTAATGAGAAGGATTAAATCGGATGAGGTTCAGGCAGGACTACAAAGAAACCTGGATAGGCTGGACACATGGTCCAGCAACTGGCTTCTCAATTTCAACCATGCCAAATGCAGTCATGAAGATTGGGGATGGGCACAGAAGACTGCAGACAGAGTATGGGCTAGGTGGACAAAGGCCGCAAACCTCACTCAAGGAGAAAGATCTTGGGGTGACCATAACACTGAGCACGTCTTTGGAGGCACAAATCACCCAGATAATGGCTGCAGCATATGGGCACCTGGCAAACCTGAGAATAGCGTTACGATACCTTGGTAATGAATCGTTGAAGACACTGTACGTCAGGCCCATACTGGAGTATGCAGCACCAGTTTGGAACCCACACCTTGTCAAGCATGTCAAGAAATTAGAGAAAGTACAAAGGTTTGCAGTGAGGCTAGTTTCGGAACTTAGGGGAATGTCCTACGAAGAAAGGTAAACTGAAATTGGACTGATGACACTGGAGGACAGGAGGGTCAGGGTAAACATGATGATAACATACAAAATAATGCGTGAAATAGACAAGGTGGATAGAGACAGGATATTCCAGAGAGGGAACACAGAAACAAGGGGTCACAATTGGAAGCTGAAGACTGAGACGAGTCACAGGGATGTTAGGAAGTACTTCTTCAGTCAGTCGTCAGGCAGTGGAATAGCCTAGCAAGTGAATTAGTGGAGTTAGGAACCATACATAGCTTTAAGATGAGGTATGACTAAGCTCAGGAAGCAGAGAGGACCTAGTAGCAATCAGTGAAGAGACGGGGCCAAGAGCTGAGTCTCGACCCCTGCAACCACAATTAGGCGAGTGTACACACACACACACACACACACACACACACAGACAGAGAGTGTTCCGGTACCTCAGTAAGGAATAGTTCAAGACTTTATACACTGTGTACGTCAGGCCCATACTGGAGTACGCAGCACCAGTTTGGAACCCACACCTGGTCAAACATGTCAAGAAATTAGAGAAAGTGCAAAGGTTTGCAACAAGGCTAGTTCCAGAGCTAAGGGGAATGTCCTATGAAGGAAGGTTAAGGGAAATCAGTCTGACAACACTGGAGGACAGGAGGGTCAGGGGAGACATAACGACATACAAAATACTGCATGGAATAGACAAGGTGGACAGAGACAGGATGTTCGAGATGGGACACAGAAACAAGAGGTCACAATTGGAAGCTGAAGACTCAGATGAGTCAAAGGGATGTTAGGAAGTATTTCTTCAGTCATAGAGTAGTTAGGAAGTGGAATAGTCTGGCAAGCGATGTAGTGGAGGCAGGAACTATACATAGTTTTAAGACAAGGTATGATAAAGCTCATGGAGCAGGGGGAGAGAGGACCTAGTAGCGGTCTGTGAAGAGGCGGGGCCAGGAGCTGAGTCTCAACCCCTGCAACCACAATTAGGTGAGTGTACACACACACACACACACACACACACACACACACACACACACACACACACACACACACACACACACACACACTCATACAGTAGTCCTCCCCCATATCCATGGGAGGTATGTTCCAAGACCTACCATGGGTAGTAGTGAAAGCTGTATACAAGTCATTTTTCATTTACATACATACCAATGATTTAATTTAACTGATAAATTATTCTCAGTAAGTGGAGAATTATCACTTCCACTAATGGGAAGCACTTCACAGATTTTTTAGGCTTTGAAGAACTGTCACTATCACTATTGTGCTTTGGTGTCATTATTGAGCAAAATTAATGGTTATTTTCAGTTATCCACAGAATCTGAACCCGCAGATATGGGGGTTGTACTGCATATTAAAAATAAAATAAAAAATGTACTCGGGTATTCTTGTAGTCAACATGACAGCAGTGATATGGTCATTGTTGTCCATAACACCAGGACTCTGCTGTCCGTGACACCAGGACTCTGCTGTCCGTGACACCAGGACACTGCCGTCCGTGACACCAGGACACTGCCGTCCGTGACACCAGGACACTGCCGTCCGTGACACCAGGACACGGCCGTCCGTGACACAGGACACGGCCGTCCGTACACCAGGACACGGCCGTCCGTGACACCAGGACACGGCCGTCCGTGACACCAGGACACGGCCGTCCGTGACACCAGGACACGGCCGTCCGTGACACCAGGACACTGCCGTCCGTGACACCAGGACACGGCCGTCCGTGACACCAGGACACGGCCGTCCGTGACGCCAGGACTTGGCCATTCCTGATACCTGGACACTGATAACTTTAAAAGTTTTCTCATTGTTTTTATCCCTTTTTTCCGTGTATTTTGGATAGCTTGTTCTAGTATTTTGTGGGAATTACTCTGAGCTTGTTTAATAAAAAAAAAGTTCTTAATGCCAATAATATAAGGCATTTTACCATTGTTGCAAGGATATGGCATAGTGATGGTAGGTGATGGTGTGGTGGTAGGTGATGGTGTAGTGGTGATGGTAGGTGATGGTGTGGTGGTGGTGGTAGGTGATGGTGTGGTGGTGGTGGTAGGTGATAGTGGTGATGGTAGGTGATGGTGTGGTGGGTGGTGGTAGGTGATGGTGGTGATGTGTGGTGGTGGTGGTAGGTGATGATGTAGTATACAACATAGTCCTGATATTGGACCTCTGAAAAACACAGCTATTCTGTATGGGTTTACTGCATATTTTTTTAATATATTATTATTGGAAACGGCTGGTGTGAAAGATGGTTTATTTTATGTAGAAATTGCAACTTGGGGAGCCAGAATTGTGGTGGTGGCAGGTGATAGTTATGGAGGTGTCTGTTGCATGTTTATACAAGTATTGTACAGGGTCACATCATATTTCTAGATCAAGCAATGACAGTTATAATGTAAGGAATAGAAAATTATTATTTTTAATTCTTGGCAAATTACAAACAAAAAAGTTTTGCTTTTTTGAGGGCCAAGTGAATTTAACCCCATTTTTCCCATGTGTTCTTCAGTTCATTTTACTCAGTTTTTTAATTGAACAATAGAATAATTGAAGGGAAAAAAATGGGTAGTGTGTCGAAACATCTGTGGAAACAAAAGTTTATTGAGGAAAAGAAAAAAAAGGAATATAGCAGAATGTAGTGGTACCAGTATGTTTGTGTGCATGTGAGGCATGCATTGTGCATGCTACAGTGAGGAGTCATCTAGAGGCAGTGGAAATGTCTTGTTTGAGAGCTATGTCTAGTGTGAATATTATGGGGTGAATTCAGCTCATAGTAATTTAAAGGTGATGTGGGGTCACCAAGAGTTTAATTCAGAAAGCTGAGGGAATGTTGAGGTCATTTGGGCTAGAGTGACAGAGGGTGTATAAATCCGGGTGGAAGGTAGGAGAGGTAGGATTCATTAAAGGAATGGTTAGAAGAAGGGAGTGTGAAAGAGGCTTTGAAGTTGAGAATTCAATAGACTTCTGCGAGCATGTTAGATAGTAGAGAATGGAGACAAGTGTTTTTTGTTTTTGATGGATGTGCTGTTGAAGTGCAAGGAAACATGAAGGGAGTCAGTTATTAGCCAGAGAAGGCCTCACCCTCAAGGGGTGGAGATGTGTGAATAATGTGAAACGTGATGTTAATAAACTTCTGGCAAGACAGTAGTTGATTAAATGGTGGTGAATATTTTCTTGGGTCACCCTTCTTGGTAGGAGATGGCTCATGAGGTAAAAGAAAAAATCATTAAAAATAACAGTATGACTCTTAACAGTATTTTTATGAATCAGCATACCAACTTTTCTCCAGATGCACCATTTTTCTGTAACCATTAAAATCAGTCTTGAGGTGAGAACCTGCTATGCTTTGCTTAAATACTCGGTGATATTGTATTGGTTTAATGACTCGATGGGAATTCTCAGTTTGTCATTTCCATCTTAGTAAATGACAGTCTGAGGTGTTTGCGTAATATGAAAGGTTATAAAATCGTGGCTACAGAAAGAGTAGTGAGGAATCACACTCAAGATGGTGAATATACTAAGTGCTCGCACTGGTCTTTTTTTTTTCTCATGGCGTCGAGAGAATTGGAATTTTTCAAATCGTCGACATTTGCAATGTTTTCTGCAGTGCTTCTTTTTCAGCAACCATTTCCTTTATTCATCAGGCCCAGAGACATTACCGGAGAGAGATCAACAAAAGCTCTACGGTCCCAAATGTATACGACCGAGAGGAACGCCGCAGATCGGGTGTCATGGCTGATTCAAGTGACTTCTTGACAGTAGGAGGGAGGGGGTCGTCATCTTCGGTGGTCATCTTACAACGTCAGGTCAGCTGCGGGCGTCGATTAGCAATGCAATCATGCTGCCGGGGCGTATATTAATGACCTAACGATTATTTATTTACTTCGTGGTGCTGGGTGGTGATTTACACGTAAAACCGAAACTAGGCATGCTTTCATTATGTTGGTAGGAGCATTTGGCTTCCTGTTTAAGTATTTTCCTGGGATGAGAAATCAGAGATGTAGGCACGTTGTATCGGAATAAATAAAATGTTGTACATTATATTAACATTAATGCCTTTTGCAATAGAATATTGCACTCTTCAAAATAAAAAAAATCTAATAAACCACATGTTCCCAATTGACTTACGTTTTCAGTTTAATATTGCTTAAGTACATTTATAGAAATTAACCGTATTGGTGAGTAACTTCTATGAATTTATAATTATCCATGTAGTGTTGTATACAAGCGAATAAAATGCATTCGTTCACTTCATTCTATGTTGTAATGAGTAAAGTGAGATAAAACGATAACATTACTGTATAAATATCTTTCTGAAGATTTAACTTAAATTGATAAATACAGTTATAAATGTACATGAAAAGCCTAAGGAATATGCGAGATAAAGATAACGCTCATGTAATAGTGAAAGTAATGTAGCAACCGTTCTCTTGGTGGAGAGAATTTTTGTCCAGGATAAAAAAATTAGTTGGTAGCACATGGTCAGTTTCAAGTCAGTTAAATGGTGTTAATGATTGTAAAGTAAGTTATAAATATTTAAATATTGAAATTTCTTATAGATCATAATGTAAGTACTTTATGTAGAGGAAAACAACATGTATTATACAGTACATGTACATATTTTGAATTTGGCAAAAATTACCAGCAACATTGGCATTAAAAAATATATAAGCAGTAATATTACGACTTTATGTATTATTATAGGTAGGTTGACAGAGTAACTATCTAAGGAGGTAGTACTATCCCATCTTAACAGTTTGAAACGCTAGTCTCTTAAAATAATTTCCTCTGGCAGGATTGTTGATATTTTCTTTCTCTCATAAACATACAAGGTGGAAGATAAAAACTTCTTAAATTTAGTATAACTGAGATTACTTTAATCTGTAATGGAAGGAAGGTGGGGGGGGGGGGTAAAGGTGGTTTTGTGTGCGAGGGGCTCAGCCTTCCAGCAGGCATGCGTGAGCCTGTTAGAGAGGAGCGAGTGGAGGTGGATGGTTTTACTACCTGACATGCTGTTAGAATGTGAGCAAAGTAACATTTATGAAGGGGTTCAGAGAAACTGGTTAGTGGGACTCGAGTCCTGGAGGTGGGAAGTACGGTGCCTGCGCTCTGGTGGAGGGGTGGAGATATGTTGCAGTTTTTGAACTGTAGTGTGGGCACACCTCTGGCAAGATAGTGATGGAATGAGTGATGATGAAAGTGTTTCTTCTTTTTTAGGTTACCCTGCCTTGGTGGGAAACAGCCGATATGTTAATAAAAAAAAAATTGTGAATAGATAAATTGTTAAATTGCATTACAATTGTTAATGTCTTGGAGAAGTTAGTTACTTTGAGAGATGAGTACTGTAATTATAAAAATCATAAATCTTGCATCCCATTGACAGTGGTATGACAGTGAGCCTCTCAGTTGAGAATGGTAAACTTGTTGTTTTGAAGCTAATGAACTCTCATGAATTTCGATTAAATTCACTAGTGCTTCTGAACACCCAGGGATGAGGATTAGTATTGTACCTGCATGTTTTATTTTGGCTTCTTGCTGGAAAAAAGTGTTTTATAAAAAGATTGAGATGACAGCATAGGAACAATCAGAGAAAAATTTAAAGTATTGTGTCTGTATTGGGAGACACATTATGTTCTATTCCCTTGTTAGATAAATATTTATTTAATACATTTTACTAGGAAGCACGAAACCCATAGGTCACGTAGTAACTTGTTCAAAGTAGGAGAAGATAAGGCCAGTTACTGGGATGAAGAATTCCTCACAGGCCTCAAGACATTTTCTTTGAGGAACCTTGTATAATGAAATTTAGGATTGGCTACATCTGAAACAAGTCTCTTTCTTGCTAACATGATTTACTCTACTGATAATGTGCATCCAGTCAGTCTCCAGTGTTGTCAAAAGACAACAGAGTTTGACCTTGAGTTTGACCCTGCACGTGGCTTCTGTGGCATTATGTACTGAAATTTAACATGTCACATAGCCTTCCTTCATTGACTTTGTGATGTGGTATAAACTACCATGTCTCCATTAAATGGAAAATTGTCTTATTGGAAACTTGATTTTGTTACTTTATAATAATTGATGGGATATCCACTTATTAATCACTAACATTGATTAACATTGACAGGCCTTAAATATAATTTTTTCTTTCTTCTTAATCCATTTCTGTCATTAGGCATGTAAGAAATAAGTGATGTAACAATGACATCACTGGGAGTGAAGGGGCATTTTGTTAAAACCTTTTGAATGAAGCCCCTGTATAATATCTCCTGGTTATTCTTCTCATTCCACATATTTTCCATTCCCTTGGTCATTTTGCTTTAATTTAAAATTTTCTGTTAAATGCATCAATACATGTTTCTCTTTTTTTTTTTTTCTCCTGATCTTCCTCTGCTGTTACCTAATGGTGGTTTCTTCCTCTTTTGCTCACCCTAATTTCTCTTGTTACTAAAAATCACTATTTCACACATTCATCATATTCCTGCTTTACCATATTAATTTTCTTCTTGATGTTAGTACTATGGTAATTTATCTATTTTCAAAAATTTAATCGTATACCTTTTTAATTTTTCCACTTTACAAGTACACATTACTTTAGTCCCAATCTTACAGATTAAAGTAAAGTAACCATGTGTACAGGTGGATTGCTGCTTTAATGATCTTTCTCTTGTCATAATAATCATTAAGAGTAACTAACATTTTATCTTTCTACCTTATATTGCTCTTATTGCCTACTTCTCATTTACTGTTCTGGGTCCCTCTTTCATTGCATCTTTTCACTCATTGTACACTAACTGATTTCTCCCACTCTCTTACTACCCACTTGCCCCCTACATTTTGCCTCCTTTCCTCTCCTTGATATTTTCTGCAAATTATTTTCTTGTAGTTTATTTTACAGCTTGAATTTTTCTTGTCTGTTTTTCTTATTTTTCAATAATTTTTGCAGTACTATTAAAGATAATTGGAGAAATGTTTAAATATTTTTTTTTTTTTTTTTTTTTTTTTTTTTTTTTTTGAATATTATGTTTAGTTATATTTTGCTTTCATTTTTTTTCTAAACAAATTTAGTTTATTAAATCATAAAACTCAAAATCAGTTTTCTTCCACAGGCATCACCTCAACCAGATTTATCCAGTGCATCAGTATCTATGACTCCGGTCACGGCATCAATACCATCGCCATCTGCTCGACTTCCCGCCAGTGTATCAGTAACTGCAGTGAAGTCTGATTATGGACATAGCTCTAGAAGCTCTAGCCATCGCTCATCACCCTCAGTGGCAGCACAGCTCCAGCTGCAGCGTGAACGAGAGAGACAAAAGGAAAGGGAAAGAGAAAAAGAAAGGGAAAGAGAAAGAGAGCGAGAAAGAGAACGTGAGAAAGAAAGGGAGAGGGAACGTGAGCGTGAGAGGGAAAGGGAACGTGAGCGTGAGAGGGAAAGGGAGAGGGAACGAGAAAAGGAGAGGCACCAACGTGAGAAGGAGCAGCGGGAGAGAGAACAGCGGGAAAGGGAACAAAGAGAAAAAGAAATGTTTTTGCCACCAGGTTTGACAAAACAGCAAAAAGAACAGTACATGCAAAGTATGACTGCAGCAGCGGCAATGGCTGCTGCTATGTCCAACCCTGCTACACTACAACAGTTACAGGCGGCTCAGCAACAGATGCTTAGAATGCAGGGATTAGGTAATGCAGCGGCTGCTGCAGCTGCAGCGGCAGCTGCTACCCAACAGTTACCTGCTCATATGTTAGCCCCTTACTTACTTGGACCATACAACCCATTTGGCCTTGGTCAGCTGCAACAATTAATGGCTGCATCAGCAGCACAGCTAGGAGTCCCCCCAACTTCTTCAGCCCCTTCAACTTCCAGCAGTAGTAATAGCAACAGCAGTAACAGCAGTAAAAGTTTAGCTCAACAACAGCAACAAGAAATAATGCGTCAAGCTGCAGAAGTTCATCGTCAGTACCTATTGGATATGATACCTTCAGGGGGTCTGCATAGCCAGCAGTCCCACTCTAAATGGAAGAGCTGATGGGCAGGCGCCTGGCCAGCCTCCCTGTCATCAGCCCCCACCAGCCTCTGCCAGTACTGCTGATGGGACAGTGCTGCTGCTGGTGGATAGTGGGACAAAAGGACCCTCAGTGACAGTGACTCGAGTGTTCAGCCTAGCTATGGCCTGCCCACCTTTAGTGTTGTGCCTCGGCCGCAGTTGGGCCATGCTGCACCTGGGGTTCCTAGTCACATTAGGATAAGGAAGCTCTCTGTGATGTGACCAGTGAGTGAGGGGTACTGCTGGTGTTTGGCCAACCCTTGACCGTAGCACAACCAGCCATGATGGTTGCCCTGTAGCAGTGCCAGTTGGTCACCCAGACCAGAGGAGTTGTATGGAGAGTTTCAGACACGAAGAAAATGCATCTTTCACAGATACCTGAGACAGCAAGAAGGTAGCCCTACTCCTGGACTACTGGTAACAATAGGCAACCTTCCACAGTGAACTATAGTGAATGACAATTATGGTATTACATGACCACATCCCTAATTTATTTCTGTTGTCATTTGTTGTCCATTACGGTGCAAGGGAATATCTTTTCTTCACCATTAATCTGTATTGTTACATAGTTGTAGGGTGTCATGAGACTGTGAGCAAAGTGCCGTGCACACATCTTGCTCTGTATGTCTCTTGACTGCATCTATGGGTCTCGCATGGTCTAGTTTCATTAGAGTAATAGTGACACAGTGGTAATGCAACAAACCAAGGTACTTTCCCTGCACTGATCATTTGTTCTTCATGTGATATATTGTGTTTGTTTCAACCTTTGTTCAGCACAAGGGTGGGCAGATTCGCACAAACTGACCAGTGTGCTGTTCTGAACCAGTCTCCATATTATTGAACAGCCAACATCTATGTGATTGGGATCATGTAATCTCATCCGGGCAGTTGTCTGCGTGTGACTACGGCGAGGCTTATCCAGGAACCGGGATCCCCTCCCCAGATAAGGTTTGTCATCAGTGGGCATAAAAACATCCGTACTACTGGCCTGATATATGCTATTGGGTCACAGACAGTATATCAGAAGGTGTAAGCATTTATTAAATTATATATGAGTTATGTACAAAGTCTTCATTGGATGCAATGTAACCTAAAGTTATGGCATCTTAACTATCCTTTGTTAAATGTTTCATATTATGGTGTTGCAGTAAGGCTTCAGTTTAAAGATTTATTTACAATGTAATATAAAATTTGAGCAAGGTTATGAAAAGCTGTCACATGGGATTTTTTTTAAATATGTATAGTATATATTTTTTTTATTGAAGAATATTAGGGGCGTTTGGTTGGTGTATGAGGGCCCTGGTTTCTGGCCTCGCCATTACCCAGGGGATTCCAGTTATCTGTTCACTTCCATTATAATTGTCATCACTCCCGTTTTCATAGCCATGGCTGAGTTTCAGATTCATGTAGGCTAGTGTTTTCACTTCATAAGTAAGATAAATAGGGCCTTTTTCAATAAAGATGATCTGAAAAACCGAATTAACATGCGTTTTAATTTTTTCTTTTTCCTCCATTTCAAGGAATATTGATATCCATTTCTTAAACAGGAAACAAAGCAAAAAAAAAAAAAAAAATAGTAAGGACAGTATTCCCATAACAAATTATGCTCTTTCATTCTTCTCCTCCCCTTCTCTTTCATTCTTCTCCTCCCCTTCTCTCTCATTCTTCTCCTCTTCTCTTTCATTCTTCTCACCTTCTTTCATTCTTCTCCTCCCCTCCCCTTTCATTCTTCTCCTCCCCTTCTCTTTCATTCTTCTCCTCCCCTTCTCTTTCATTCTTCTCCTCACCTTTCATTATTATTCTCGACCTCTTTCATTCTTCTCCTCGCCTTCTCTTTCATTATTCTTCTCATCTTCTCTCTCATTCTTCCCCTCACCTCTTTCATTCTTCTCCTTACCTTCTTTCATTCTTCTCCTCCCCTTCTCTTTCATTCTTCTCCTCCCCTTCTCTTTCATTATTATTCTCATCTTTCATTATTCTATGAACAGGCAGACACTGCTGCGCGGTCAGCAGTATATGACCTACCAATTTCCTATCGAGGTGTTCCATTTCTGGACTATTTTGCTGCAATAGCTACCCACCTTCGCACCCGTTGGCAACACTGTTGGTCAACTCTGCTCGGTAACAAACTTCATTCTATTAAACCGAGCATAGGTTACTGGCCGTCTTCTTGTCATCAGTGCCGAGGTTGGGAGACCACTCTCTCCCGCCTTCGCATTGGCCACACTCGTCTTACTCATGGGTTCTCATGAGAGGCACCCTGTTCCTCTCTGTGAGCAGTGTCAAGTTTCAGTATCGATTAGCCACCATTCTGTTAGACTGCCCTCTCTATCACGAGCACGCAGAATTTACCTCACGTCGTCTTCGTTCCCCTACTCTCTCTTTACCTTCCTTCTTGCTGATGGACCCTCCTTTAATCCTGACTCTCTCATTGACTTCTTGACAACGACTGATTTACTCCACAAACTCTGATGATACTTTTCGCACTCCCCTCAGCCCTTTCTGGTTCAGTCTCTTGCTGCCCTTTACCCTTTCACCATCCACTGCCCCGCTGTTATCCGTAACCTGTTGCTCATCTCTCCCTTTTGCCACCTGATGCCCTCGCTTCCTTCCTGCCCTGCAGCGCTGTATAGTCCTTGTGGCTTAGCGCTTCTTTTTGATTATAATAATAATAATAATTCATTATTCTCCTCACCTCTTTCATTCTTCTCCTCGCCTTCTCTTTCATTATTCTTCTCATCTTCTCTCTCATTCTTCCCCACCTTCTCTTTCATTCTTCTCCTTACCTTCTTTCATTCTTCTCCTCCCCTTCTCTTTCATTCTTCTCCTCCCTTCTCTTTCATTATTATTCTCATCTTTCATTATTCTCACCTCTTTCATTCTTCTCCTCCCCTTCTCTTTCATTCTTCTCCTCCCCTTCTCTCTCATTCTTCTTCTCCCCTTCTCTTTCATTCTTCTCCCTTCTTTCATTCTTCTCCTCCCCTCCCCTTTCATTCTTCTCCTCCCCTTCTCTTTCATTCTTCTCCTCACCTTTTCATTATTATTCTCACTCTTTCATTCTTCTCCTCGCCTTCTCTTTCATTATTCTTCTCATCTTCTCTCTCATTCTTCCCCTCACCTTCTCTTTCATTCTTCTCCTTACCTTCTTTCATTCTTCTCCTCCCCTTCTCTTTCATTCTTCTCCTCCCTTCTCTTTCATTTTCTCCTCCCTTTCATTATTATTCTCACCTCTTTCATTCTTCTCCTCGCTCTCTCATTTCTTCCCCTCACCTTCTCTTCATTCTTCCCTCACCTTCTCTTTCATTCTTCTCCTCACCTTCTCTTTCATTCTTCTCCTCACCTTCTCTTTCATTCTTCTCCTCACCTTCTCTCATTCTTCTCCTCACCTTCTCTCATTCTTCTCCCCTTCTCTTTCATTCTTCTCCTTACCTTCTTTCATTATTCTCCTCACCTTCTCTTTCATTCTTCTCCTCACCTTCTCTTTCATTCTTCTCCTCACCTCTTTCACTCTTCTTCTCACCTTCTCTTTCATTCTTCTCACCTTCTCTTTCATTCTACTCCTTCCCTTCTTTTTCAGTAGGATGTTTCTTCAAGGGAGGGCTCTTTGATGTGGCAAAGAGGATCTTGGTCTAAGGAATTAGACCCTTTGGTCTCCTTCCTCAGACCAAACCTAATTACCTCCCAATCCTCCCTTCCCTATCCCATTATGTTTTTTTTTTCCTTTCCACCCTCTCCCTTTTCCCCATCCTGTTTGTAACCTCTGAGGTCCTCTCCTCTGACATTACAATTTCTAGGTAGGGGAAAGTGTGCTGGGGTTCATCCCGCTCCGTGAGGTTCTTCGCTTATGGTGTAGTTTGCCATGGAATCTGGATTGTCTGGAGGCACCCTGCTCCCTTCCCGGATTTCCGAGAGGTGGGCAGGGTGACCTGCAGGTGATGGGTGCATCTCCAGAGGCTGCCTGTCAGTTCTGGGAGGTGGCAGTCGAAGGAGGTATGCTTTGTGGCGGGTTTCTGACCACCCTCTCTTTTGTCTGCCGAGGTGGCTTCATAGATATGAGGTTGCTATTCCAGAGTGCTGGTTTACTAGTGTGAAGGGTAGAGTATGGCACGAGTTTCATGCTGCATCTGCACTGCTCATGGTCTCTAGGTCCTCTCGGATGAGAGGAGCAGCTTACGGCCCTTTCATGCCTTCTAGTGACTGTCCCTCCACTGCCTTTTTTTCTTTTTTCTTTAAAATAATAAAATTATTGTCGTCGTCCTTGTCCTCCCTCTTGTTACCACATCCTGTTCTGACCCAGCTTTGTTATTAGACCATTCTCCAGACTTTTCTCATACCCCTGTACCTTCTGCTGGTGATGCCTCGTCACCTGCTTCAGGTGCTGGGGATCCATCCATTTCTTCTAGTGCCTCTTGCATGCCTTTAATTATGCGTCTGGCTTCCCCAAATGTGGTGCGATGGTTTTCAGATCGCTCGCCTACCTCAGGTCGAGCCGCCAGTGGAACTATGCCTTAATGTTCTAGACCATTTGCTGATGATGTTTCTTCGATGTCTGCTCATTCCACCCAGAAACGACCTACACGATACCCACTTCCTTTATGCACCATGTTTACAAGTATGCAGTGGACTAAATTCTTTTCCCTCCAACTGATTTATCTTATATTAGTATTAGTAAAGCTCTTTTACAACACGGCCAAAATATATCCTTTCGTACTCTTTGAAGTGGTGTACGCATCGTTACAGTTCAGAATGCAGAACAAGCTCGTGATCTTTTCCATCTTACTTCCATTGATAATATTCCTATCACAGTTCACAAGCACGCTACTCTCAATTCTTGCAGTGGTACGGTGGTTTTACCATGTACCATTGTACAGTGTGATTTTCTGTCTTGCGATGCTATTTTGGAGCAATTAACCCTTCAGGACCTTCCTATTCTTAAAGTGGATACATATGTCCTGCCCACTCGCGAGCAGAGGTGCTTTCCCAGTAACATCGCCCGCTTACCCTTTGACTGCCATGAACTTCCATCCTCCGTTTATATCGTGGGCCATCGCCTAGAGGTCCACAAAGTTGCCCCTACTCTGCAACAGTGTCAAAATTGTTGACGCTTTGGACACTGCTAAATACTGCAGATCTGCAGCTGAGTGCACGATCTGCTGTGCCTCGGATCATGCTGATATGTCTTGCAGTCTTCCCCCCAACTTGTCTCGATTGCAACGAACCTCATCCTTCTTTTTCCCGCCGATGTCAGGCCTATCTTTCTGAATGAGAAATCTGTTGTCTTAAGGAGAGAGAAGGCCTTCCTTATGCTATGGCTGTGTCTCGGCTCAGCCTTCAGGGGAATCTTCCTCGTGTTCCTTATCCTTGAGTAGCTAGGAAACCTCCAACCTCGGTGGTTGTCCCCGCCTACCAGCTCCGGTGTAGTGTCTTCCTGGGTCAACCCCGTCTCTAATTCTTTTGCAGTTTTACCCTCTGAACCCCCCACCTCCTTACCTATTCCTGCCTCTACTTCTTCTCACCTGCTAGTTTCTCAGTCTGCAAGGCCTTGCATGCCTGCATCTTCTTGCCTATCACCTGTGAAGTTGAACCCGTCTCATAAACCCAAATCTCTTCGTATTCCTCCGGTGCTTACAATTCCCCAGCAGTTTGCCTTTTCGGCCTCAGTGCCTAGTTCTCACCTCCTTTCTAACTCTCACACGAAGGTGGAGGTTCACCCCGCCCCTCGTGTGGTCCCCTCTTCTCCTGTTTTGCCCCCCTTCCCCGACTTCTTCCCCCAGTCACCTTCCAGCCTTCTTCCTCTCCAGTTCCACTGCAGGATTCTACTGTCACTGCCAGTGCATCTCCAGGTTCATACTTCCCTTCCCTCTCAGACCTCTTTGGTTCCCTCCATAGTCTCCTCGATCTCTATTTGCTCTACCTCACCTGTCTGAAGTCATGGTATCAGCATCTTCCTTGTCAGCCGAGACACTTGACGCTATCTACAACTATATTGCGGAGATGAAACCCTCGATGGACACCGGCGCGCCTCCTTATACCTTTTCTTATTTTTCACAGTCCTCGCAGCAATCTTTTTCCTTCACATCATTCAGATTCCTCCTTGCTTACATGCTTTCCGTTGCCTCCACACATTGACTTTACTGACCCTACTAGCCCATAAATTTTATCACTTCTTGACTCATGAAATCGTTAGCCACTGGTCAAGTGGCTAACACGACGGTCTGGAGTTTTGAGACTCTCTGACCGCGGGTTCAATCCCGCCCGTGGTATGGTTTTATCACTTCTTATTGTTGGCATACCTGTCTGTGAATAAAGACATATTTACAGTGGAATATTCATGGCCTTGGGTAATAGGGAGAGCTCCAGGTGTTGCTCTCCCAAGAGGGTCACCAAATAGAACGAAAGGAACATGTAAAAGACCTGAGAATAATTGCCAACTGACCTTTCTTTTAAGGACCATAACAAGACACAGATCATGACAGCCAGGAA